TGTTGCTCTGCCGAATACGAAAATCATTGGTACTGATGTACAAACTGTTATTTGGTCTGCTTCCTTATGGAAGCAGGTTTTTCAAATTTCGCGAGAAATCTTCTGCTTCTGATTGTGTTGCAGGTAGAACGAGGCAAATAACGGCGTTGGAAGAACATCCATATGGTGTGGAGCCAACTGGGACGGAATTATCTGATAGACGGACTTTTTCAAGCGAACGGAGCTTTTCTTTCCTGACGGCTAGTTTGTGGAATGAACTCAAGCTACCTAAGGATGCGTACAGAACCATCGACTGTTTCCAAACCTATCTGGATTAGGTCATGCCTGAACGAAAAAGCTTTTGGGCCACAAATTTGATTATACTAGTTTTTAACTACACCGAGTGCAGATTTCTTTTCCCTGATTAATGCTATTTGCTTCCAGCCGTTAATTTTACTTGAATTTCTATTTAAATCCCTATATAAACCAAATTAAAATGGCATAGTCGGAATCTATCGATTTCGCTCCTCCTTTTCATTTTAACGAGGAAATCGTGATTATGTATGCGTTGTGCAGGGAAAAGATTACAACATGGATTCAGGTGAAACAACGTATCGCCGATCTGGAGCTGAGCAACGAGCGCATCGAGAAGCTGCTTGTCTTAGCAACCGCACAGCAATCTTCGTGTTTCCCATGGAATGCCGTAAATGTTGAATCACTAGAGCTACGGAAAGATGCATTAGGTGCTTGGGACATCGTGTGGGTGCGGCTGCTAACGTTCTGGAACAGTCCTGGATGGGCTCCTGAGATGCTAAATACTGTGTCAGTGGTTTTTGTCATCAGCATGTTGGTATCAGTACTTGGTATTGTGCTCTGGCGCCGCTACGGCAGTCGGCGAATATACATTGCTCTTATGGTGGCTTTCTTGGTGTACATTGTCCGTGTCTGGGCTATTGGCTGGATACTCCCTCGAGTGCAGCGGATCATTAAGGAAGTGTTTTGACTTTTGACTAACAATAAATTTCATACCTTATAATTATTGCAGGGACATTTGTAACCGTCCAAAACGACCGGCCGTTTGAGACGACCGCCGGTCATTTCCGCCTCTAAACCGTCCGAAACGACCAGGGTCCGCCAAAACGACCGCCGTAAATTTTGCCCTACCAGTTTTTTTCGCTCTTTTAGTCGCAAACAAAACGAATGAATGTAATTTCGTATCCGGTCGTTCCGGCCGGAGTGTAACTTCGTATCCACTCGTTCCTGCCGGAGTGTGATTTCGTGTCCGGAACGACCGGATACGAAATTACATTCATTTGTTTTGTTTGCGACTGAAAGAGCGAAAAAAACTGGTAGGGCAAAATTAACGGCGGTCGTTTTGGCGACCCCCGGTCGCTTCGGACGGTTTAGAGGCTGAAACGACCGTCGGTCGTCTCAGACGACCGGTCGTTTTGGACGGTTGCAGACGTTTAATAAGTATGACTATACAGGTGCAACCTTAGCTTTGTACCAATATTCGAATAAAACAGATTTTAATAGAAAAATGCACGTTGGCGAGCATTTGCAGACCGGAGCGAGGGTTAAGCTCAACTTCCGCTGCGGTAGCCATGCTGGTCCCAACAAGATGTACCACAAACTGGTCTCACAGAAAAAAAAAGATCTTATAAATAAATGTTTCAAGGACCAAAGTTATTGTGCTACAGGGTCAAATGAGTGAAAGAACTAACTTTTTGACTCATTTGGATTGTAGTGGACAGTAGCTTTAGCGTTCTGCATTGAGTTGTACTTACAATAGCAGTACCAAAACCTTTTCATAATCATACGTAGCCAATAACAAGCAATCTTTATGAGGCAGTCTTTTTTTAAAACATACAAAAAAATGATAAACTTAATTTTCTTCCAACCACTTTTCGCGAAAAATAAACGCACATCGAAACAGAATACGCCTCAATCTGAAAATATAGCTCGTATATGTTCAATCTTTTGCTCGACGTTTTGTTCAATCACCCAGTATTTTGCACCTGTAACCCTGTATTTTTACCGCTTCAAGTACTCCTATCTAGACAACGCAGACAGGTTGTGTGATTTTTTATCATATAATAAGAACGCCTTTGTTATGCTGGTAAGCATCGCTGCACTAGCTTGTAACGCCATCTATCATCAAAAGAAACCGAAGGATCGCTTACTCGTCGACAGCGCCGACAGTGCTCTTGGCAACGGATAGTTGTACAAAATGTACTCAGATGAAAAAAAGACATTGCTGGAAGCACGTCGGTGCAGAGTGCCCTTCCGCGGCGGAAGCTTATGTCAACATACCCGCTATGAACGAGACAGATGGCGGTAAAACGGTTGCGATCGAGTAGAACCTATGCATACACCAACAATCGTCGCGCGTCCATAAAGTACCACCGATTTCTTACGTAGTGAATAATTTTCGTATTGAAAAGTGTTTTCTGACTGCCCTAGCCATCTTAGTCGAAATGCAGCACATAAGGTTCTGTGTGTTTGGGGTATTTTTGCCTGTATTATTGGCAACGGAACAACCTGACCAACTTTGCGGCGTCGGGCGAAGCACTGCAGATAGCACAACAAAATCCGAAGATCTATTGTGCATGGACGAACAGTTTCTGCTAGGAAAAGATGGCGAGGAAAAAATGGAAGCATTTGTACACTGTCTTCCGCTTTTGAGGTAATCGTACTGGCATGCGAATTTGAACTTGCACGTGCTGCACAACATAAATATGTTCGTCTCTCACTGGGCAGGCAGAGTAACTAGCCAGTTTGCATTCTTCAGATGTCTTTAAATGCGCCTCAGTTGTCGTCAAATCCTGTGGCAGCATCGGATCCGTTCCGAACATTTGTTCCTTTCTTTCCTCGGGTTTAACCAAGTATCGCTGCTTTGTAGGCGCAAGTTGGCGACGTGTACGACGCGTGCAACAGCAGGAAAAAGTTGTCGTTGAATTGCAGATGTTGCTGAGGCGTCTCCAATAGCATCTCGGCGTTGTTGATGTGCCACAACAGTCCGAAAAAAGCCAGTCTGGGGACAATCCCACCGACAGATGAGAAACCTTCTTGATGAAACCGGAATGCTGGCTTCGTATTGCTACTTCTGTCATGGGCATTGGTTTGGTCGTGCACTGGATTGGAATTGTCGCGTATGTTGTGCGATGGTGCTACATGAACCCTCGGCTAGCCCGTTTGCTCTTTAGTGGGAAGTTTTGGCGCATGCTTCCACGTTCGCAGGCTGCTTAAGTTAATGGATGCACCCTGAATCTGTAACGTGCGCTCGACGGATTATTAGGAATTGCAAAGGAGTATACTGAGTTTATTTATGACCTTTGCATATTTAAAATCAGATTGACTTCTGCAAAGGCTTCCCGCTTACTAACTATCCACATAACCACATTTACACTAATTTTTATGTTCTATGAAGTGTATTGTTATGTGCATGATTTTATCTATTGTAAAGCCGTAGACTACATGCATTTCAATAAATTTTGGTGTTCGACGTTTGGGTTCGCTAAAGAAATGTTCAAGTCGTTGATTCATTATGCCATACGCAGCATTTCTGTAAAATACTCGGTAGATTAAAGCACAAAGACCATATCAGTCAAGAAAACTAAAACTAGGTTTAATGTAAGCGCGTTTCTGTGGTCGTCAGACGACAACATCAGATGCTAATTTGCAATCACTGATGTGGCGAAAATACCAACTTATACTAGGGTTCTTGGATTAGTCTTGTACGCAAGTGCTTCTGCGGCGCATCTGTGCAGTAGATCTTACGGTCATGAACATCATGGCAACAATTCGTCGCCAGTACGACGTTTCTGAAACCAGGCTTGTGTCAGAAGAGAAACCTCTGCACACAGGACAGCTGCCCCACCGCCGCCTACCTGGTTGGATCAAGCTCAAGTACAGTATCTTGATTTTCGCCAACAGCGGCGATGGCGCAGTGGCTGTGCTACGTCGATCACACCCGGTAGCCAGCGGCATGGATTCCTCTACACTGCCATTTTTGCCTATGCCTCACGGAATCGCCCTCTCGACGCTGGGATCCCACGGACAACCGTCTTGTGGCTGACTTTGTGACGCTTACTACGATAGAACAATGCAAAGAAATTCCAAAAATCTTTTGAATGTACAACGGTTTTGTGGCAAATAACAGTTAGAAAACAGGGAAAAAGCAGTTTAAAGACAGCTTTTGAGGGATGATAAGTACAACGGTAAGTTTCTGATGGTAGCAACGGCTCAGGTAAAGATATAGCACAGTTCTTGGAAGAACAACAGGAAACTGCATCTATCACTGCCATTAATAGCGCAGTATTTCAGTGAAATATGCCGGTGTATGGTATAGTATCCGTGCACACGTTTGCTTTCCTGCATTTCTCACGCCGTTTTGGATTGTTTTCTTTCTTTTCTTGGCATGCAGGCTAGTGCAAGATACCAATAAACAATGTGCAAATTGCATTCGTGTCGTGCATGCTACATGTCGCGGCCAACATTAATGCTATTGACATATTATTATGTAAGTACAGTCGGTACAGACGTACACCTTAATGTTTTTTTTGTTGATTTAGTTTGCATTTTTTGAAGCCTCTTGCGCCAGCCCAAGGCTTAACAATTACATACATATTTCCTTATTAATTCAGACAGTATATTATAAAATTTGTGCCGGTACGACTTTAAGCAATTGGCCATACACAGTACATAGTGCAGCTCACATTTCAGAACTGTAGCACAAATTTACTATTTTACACTGCAGCCGCTGTAGCACAGCGATTTTCGATGGGAAAATAAATACTTGCCGTATGCATAGCAGTTGGCAATCGATTCTTGCCGTCGCCGGCATCTCATAATAATTATAGTAGAAGCAGTGCGAGCCGAGGAACATACAGCAGTAAACGATGATACATGTGCTCAACGTACGTACAGTACGAGTGTAAGACTAGCGTTATTGCGAGCGACGGGTAAAGTTAGGCTATGAAGACGGTGCGTGGAGGAACGCTCTTGCAGTATCGATTTAGTTCTACCCGTTAGTGTGAAAATTACCGAGCGTTTTTTGTAGCGTTTTGTGCTTCCATTCTTGGGCTTCCAATTCAAAATTTTATCAACCATTATGATAATTCATACTATCCTTGCTTGCAGTATTTTATTCTGAGTTCAAGCGAAATGGTATTCAAGATGCGAGTGTTGTTGTACGTGTTTGGGGCGCTTTTGCCAGCAGTATCTGCGGATGATGCCGTGGAACTTTTGCGGGATGACAGTCATGACACCCAAAACACCGCCACAGCAACCCACGAAGAACTGCTATGCCTTGATGATAAATTTCTCCAAGCGGCCACTCTCACCGACGAAGAGAAGATGGAAGCTGTATTTCAATGCTTCCCGTTATTAAAGTATGTGCGGCGGTCTGCGAACTGTCTAGAACCGTCATCTTGGTTACGCACGATACTCCACACTTGCTTTAAAAGCAGTTAGTTACCGAATAATATCGTAGCTGTCTGTACTAGCGTCTAGCACTTTTGCATAAGCTTCCAGTCATTAAGTTTATGCGTTTCTTTTTTCAGAAAAGAATTGGTCAGGTAAAAAATATGCTGCAAATTTCCTAGAAATGCAATGGAAAATGGGATTGTTGAGCTGCGACGAATTAAAATTGGCCCTGAGGTCATTACCGGTTTTTCTTAACAATTTGCTGTGAATTGCGCATAACTAACGACATTAGGCGGTTCTATGTCAATATATTTTTTAAAGTAGTTTCTCCAAAATTTACATTTTACCTTAAAATTTCAAAACGGTAAATCTACGCGGAGTAGTGTCATTATACGATCCTGTGCTGAAAAAAGCATTTTTTCTTATTTTCATGAAGATTAGCGAATGGACTGTGATATTGTATAGTTTGCAGGGAAAGGTATGAAGCGAGAATGGCGGAACTAACAGAGGCGAAGCCGTTGATGGATGTATTGGAGCGGCGCGTTAAGATGCGGGAGTCTTTCATCTCCCCCTGGAGACCTGAGAATGCTGAAGATATCATGGAATTTCTAAAAGAGCAATTTGGAGAGAAACCTGGAGTTTGGGATGTTTTGTATATGAAATACGTGGAACTCTTTGTTACCTACGGATTTATTCATGGAATACCGAATGCGTTTATCGCATTTCTCATGATTATTGTAGTGGCGTCATCAGCGAGTGAATTTTTGTTTGGCCTCTTGCACGGTCAGCAAATGCACATCGTTATCGTAGCGTTCTTCGGAATTTGCACTGTTGGTGGCCTTGTTGCGTATTTGGTGCTTAGGATGATGCGCGTTCAGCGGATTGTTAAGGGGGAGCTTTAAATAGCAACTAATTCTATGTTGATTACCATGTACATACATGTACTTCGTGATAACAGAAAGAAGAGAACTGATAAAATAAGACCGAAACATTTGCCTATTTAGCGCATTAAAATTGAAAGTTGGGTACTATTGATAAGTAAAAAAGCAAGTTACTTTTCTACAACGGTCACTTGACAAATAGAGAGAAGACTTGAAGAGTACGAATACAATGGTTAACAAAAAAATGGACATTGCGCCCGTCGGTTCGCGATCTTTGAATTAAGTCCAACAAACCATCAAATAGTGCACGTGTCTACTGTATTGAAACACCACGCGCAGCCTACACAACCTGCTGTTAGTCTCATCGACGGCACACTTCTCGTATGCTAAAAATAGTCCTGCGTGCATACGATGTACTTCCGAGATCGGCAACGCGAGTACATGGATCGATTGCCCAGAGTGTGGATAGCAAAATAGGTAACTTGGACAAAAAATAGGTAACTTGGACAAGCGCGAGAAAGGAAGCTCATCAAATAGCGTACAAGTTTGCGTAATATGCGTTATAACTTACCATCTTAATTTTGACCTTGCTTGTTATGTAACGAAATCGCAACAAAAAGCCGCCAACAGTGGCGTAATCCTGAGTCCTGGCAAAATTATGTATCTAGATTATATAAAACATTTATTATGGGCACACGGAAAGACAGAATCCTGCACATTAATTACATTGTACAACAGTACACGCCATAATATAATCACGGTTGCATCGTTGTCACTGTATTAAAACCATTAGCTGCCGACCGAAAAGCTATCCACACTCTGGGCAATCGATCCATGTACTCGCGTTGCCGATCTCGGAAGTACATCGTATGCACGCAGGACTATTTTTAGCATACGAGAAGTGTGCCGTCGATGAGACTAACAGCAGGTTGTGTAGGCTGCGCGTGGTGTTTCAATACAGTAGACACGTCACACTTGCATCGTATTGAACTATTCATCATGTTCCACAAGAAATGTTGAAGTTACCAGCATCTTTCTTGTCGCACAATTTACTTCCGCTGTTGGGCTTCCATTTCAAAATAATATTACCCATCAAAACTTCGAAATATTTGCCATTCACTATACCCGATTTTGTTTTAAATGTAATGGTGCTTATAATGCCATTGTCGATGTGTCTGTTCGGGACAATTCTGCTAGCACTGTTTGCAGTGGAACTGGCTCAGGAAGACGTCGAAAACCCTGCCACAACCCCCGAAGAATTACTGTGCCTGCGTGGCAAGTTTAGCGAAGCGGCCTCTTTGACGGATGAGGAGAAGATGACGGCTGTCTTTCGCTGCTTCCCATTTGTAAGGTACGCACCTTCGAAAACCGTTTGCTACTAATAAAATTTAATTATATTATGATATACTAAGGCTGTAATCTGTTAATTCAAGTACTTGGTGGCGATTTCGTATACATCTGCTTCATTTGCACTTTCGCGCACTTCAGCTGCCTGACATCGCTTGGTGTCATTTTGACAGCCAATTTTACAAATTGGCTAAAAAATCTTTTAGGCGTGAGAGATCAGGTTGCTGAGACATGAGAAATTAAACTCGAATAAAAGGGCTAATACACTGCCCATGATTTGATGGGATACAGTCCGAAGTTAGGTTGTTATCTCATCTTTTCGAAAATTCCATGTAAAAAAGCTTCAAGTCCGTAGAAGACTTCAAATCGGCATTTTTTCATGCTGTTATTTTTCAATTTTACAGGGTAATGCTATAAATTTCGTCTTGTTTCCCGGAATTCTTAATGACTGCCTTCCTTTACACGGCTTCTTTTTAAATTTTTTAACCCATCTTAAAACTTCCAAAAATCCTTTGGGCTTGGTGTAGGCTAATAGAAGAAAAATTCCATGGTAAATCAGATCCTGTTTTATGGGATATCTCCCATATTTTATAACTGATTTTAAGTTTTCAGGACGTTACGAACTTTCTTTTTGGTTCTGAATTACCCTCATAGCATATGTGCCGGTGCCTTTAAACATCTTCAGCTTACCCCCTTTTTAATTCGCCATATCTAACCTCTTCAATAATAGTCGGGCGGATGTTGCACGCATAAAAGACACACCAACATTCCAAGTTATTTGTCTGTTTGATGATATTAAACGATAAAAACAAATTTTCTAGAGTGCGCGATACATTCCATGTACAGTAGGTGTCGTCAGAGTACACTAATCATTCTACGCGTTCTTGAAGCTTAGTCAAGAAAGTGTTACTTTGAAAATTTTTGTAGCAAAAAGTTTGAAGAGCAATTGAGGGAATACGACGACCTGAAACAGCGTCTGGATCACGTAAAGCAGCGCAGACTGGCACTGCAGTCTTCGAAGTCGACACCGGATGCCGCACACTCTGAACTGAAAGACTCGTTCAAAAGGAAGATACACTTTCGGGATCTGTTGTGGATGAGGTTGCAGGCGTTTTATGATAATAACGGATATGTTATTGGAATACCGAAAGCTCTTGCCGCGTTTGTTATCGTGCTCTTTGCAGCGTCAGTAGTGTGTGGTTTGCTTTTGCGTTACAGTGACGTTCAGCCAGTGCGCATTGGTGTCATGGTGTTTGTCGGGGTTTGTGTTGTCGGTGGTCTTGTTGCTTATTGGCTAGTCCCCGGAATGCGGGTAGAGCGGATTGTTAGGGAAGAGTTTTAAGCAGATTTTGTTTTTATGTTCTTTTTATGTTTGAGGGGAAAAAGCAGAAAAATATTGAATAAAATCAACACACTTGCTTGTAGAGCGGACTCTTAAGTGGGCAATTTTCGACAACAGTCCAACATCCATGGTCATATCTTACGCGCGTAATTCGTTTTCAGTTTCCGTTTACGGCGCCTTTGATGGAGGTCTTCTTTAGACTCCTTTTCGTTTTCACTCGTATTAATTTACCTAAGGGGTTTTGTCTCTGCTTTTTCGCTGTTTATAATTACGTATAAATTTAGACGTTTTTCGTTTGACTAGTTTGCGTTAACAACAAGCGCAGAGCTGTACTCGCAATGAAGTGGCCTTTCTCAACATATTTAGGGAAACGGAAACACTAGACATTTCCTTTATTTTCTCGAAGCAGTATGTTGGGCTTGTATGTATATGGCTATATGCTACCGTTGCTTTGCGCCACAGCGGTATCCGCAAATTATGTACAAAGTATTTTTCCTGATGTTTGTCTGCATGGGGAGGTTCTGTCTGTTGTATGTGCAGCAACGTTTAACCTGTGTCCAAGTCTTCAACACACCGCCCACAACAGGCGTAATAAATCACTAATAATCACTAGGCCCTTTAAAATCCCCGAGAGAAACAGGTCAAGAATAGTGGCCGCGGTGATGTGATAGATATTCGTGGAAATATTGTTTCTCCGCGCTTTAAAGTACTGCTGCTCTTATTTTGCTCTTCCCAAAATTCAGCGGTGGGTTATACTGTAGATAAAAATTGGCGTGCCTAGACATGGGCGGCTTTGTACTGCGGTACGACTCGTACCGTTTATTACTGCATTCCATGCTGCTCTATTCGAAATGCTTTATGTTGTACCTACATGTAATTCACCATTACAGTACTCGTAGAGCGCAAATAATTTTCGAAGCCGGCACATATTGTCGATATCCACAAAAAAATTTCAGGTTATGCTGCAGAAACCCTTTTTTACCCACTCACTATTAACAAGACTGTTCCATTTGGCTGTACTAGAGGCGCCAGTCTTAATTTATTAAATGCGCGCTCAGCGTTTTTTTGAAGACTATCGCTACCTCGTTATGACTTCGGCAAAACCGTTTTTCTAAATATTTTTTGATACTTTATGATATTCTTGACACATTTTTTGAACAACTGCCTTTGTCCTGTCACGCTTTATTCTCGACACTGGTAATTAATCTAAGTATATTACTCGCTCTACACTACTGGTCAGTATATCGGCCAGTTCTATCAGCCGGTCTAACTATCGGCTTGGCGAACGGTTTCCCCTGCTGATGGCTGATGATATTGGAACCGCTTTCCTTGTTCCATTTTTCAAACGAGTAATCTTTACTTATGTAATTCCGCAGTCTTATTGCAGTGTTCGATACTGCTGAGTCTCATTACCAGAGACTGCCTGAGAAACTGATAATGTAATAGCGTTTGCATTACTTATCTTCTAACCGAGCACTTGGTAGACGGGTATTGCTAAAGTCTGTGACTGTGACTGGGTGGGACTGGGTGGGACTGTGAGTCTATGTGACTGGGACCTTATGTGACTGTGCCACACTGGGCGTGGGAATGATTGGGACTGTGACCTTTTGGGAGTGGGGCTAGTGGTTGCTGCAATCCGCCAGCCAACTGACAGTGCACTTCCGGTCAAATTTTCAACTGGCTTATTGTTTTAAATGGCAGTATGCAAGCTTAGTCTGTAAGGCAGTGCTTCGTACGGCATCCTAGAAATTCCAAGAAAAATAGTCAAAAGTAACAATAATGATTCTTTTATTTATCTTCAGCAGACCCTCCTTCACTTTTCTAAATGGTTCTGAAGTTCTTTTATCTTGCACATTTGGTCAATTAAAAATACACGTTACACATGTATCACTATAAAAAATGTGTATCACTACACATTATTTTAGCCTATTCGGGAGAAGTTTGTGTAGCGTCCAGCGTGATCGACGACTGAGTATGCGGTATCCCTCTGCTGCGTTCTTGTGTGTCTGCCTAGTGTCTGCCACTTTAGGGCACAGAGCGGCATTATTCGTAAGCGGCAAACATCAACAAACAAAAGCCTTTCAAATTCCTAGGCTGTCGCACGTAGGTGTGATCTGGTCTTGACCCTCTCGTTTCTCTGTGAAAGAAGGATTGGAACTATGCAGGCGACTCAGAGAAGACCGGCTGAAGGAAACATCGGAAGCCAAACAGCGCACTTGTTTTCGGCTTCTTTTCTTTGTCTTTCGTGTATGTGAAATGATTCTATCACACTAACGTTTTCGGAAAGTAAAACACTACTAAACCCGTAAGCGGCGCAGTCTGTCGCAGATTTCAACGCTTCGCTTTTCCTGCACTATTCAGTTAAAAAATATCTGCTGTAATTCTATTGAACAGTAAGTGAATCACTGATACTGTACTGCGCATCCGAATGCGGAAGTCACTATTTAAAACAGTGCAGTGATGCAACATGCGACCCGAAACTTATGAAACGGACGACGACAGCGTCCATGAAAGTCAACCGCCAACGTAAGTACCATTTTCCACGTTGCGTCTGTGTTCTTGTATAAGTTGTATTAATAATAAATTATTAACATTTTCAATTTTTCGTGGTTTACGCAATGCAATAAAAGCTATATTTTACTAAATTACTTAGCAATTGTACCATTTTCCGCTATCAAAGAAAGTTTAAAGATCATTAAAATATCGTTATATTATTATTTTTGGCTCTGTTTTTAGGGATGTAACAGATCCAGAAAACCGCGACATTACAGTCACCACCATTGAATCCGAAGAGGATCATGAGGGTTCATGCAGGTACTGCATTCATGTACACGCGCTGTAATTCATTTTAAACAACCCCACACTACTGCATTTCTATCAAAATACGCAATATTGGTGGCGGAAGTAGTGCGCGGTGCCGCATTACAGGAGCTTCGCTGCCTGCTAAAGTATAAAATGGTCCGCGGTACCGCACCACCAGCCCGGGACTGTCCCGTGTGGCCGGAAGTGGTCCGCGGTACCGCGCCACCCGCACGGGACTGTCCCGTGTGGCCGGAAGTAGTCTGCGGTACCGCACCACCCGCCCGGGACTGTCCCGTGTGGCCGGAAGTGGTCCGCGGTACCGCACCACCCGCCCGGGACTGTCCTGTGTGGCCGGAAGTGGTCCGCGGTACCGCACCACCCGCCCGGGACTGTCCTGTGTGGCCGGAAGTGGTCCGCGGTACCGCACCACCCGCCCGGGACTGTCCTGTGTGGCCGGAAGTGGTCCGCGTTACCGCACCACCCGCCCGGGACTGTCCTGTGTGGCCGGAAGTGGTCCGCGGTACCGCACCACCCGCACGGGACTGTCCTGTGTGGCCGGAAGTGGTCCGCGGTACCGCAGACTCGCCCTGTTAGATTTTAATTTTTATCGTTTGTAGCGACGAAAGTGACGTTGTCTGCTTGGAGGATGCAGAGATATCTGTGGTGGATGACAGCGATACCAAGGAGACTGACGGAATTCCCGTAATCAGCACCAAGCACCTCTCGTTCATTACGAACCTTTACGCAGCCGAGCTGATTTTTAAAGCGAAGAAACAGAAACGTGGTGTGAAAGTGGCCACCAGAGTCCCACATCAAGTGCAGCGGACATCACTTTTTGTTATCAAATTGTCGTGTTTGGCAAGTCCGGGAGATGTGTTATCGGACAGCAACGGTCGATGGGAGCAAAGCAATGGGAAGACCATTCATTTCTACCGATGGAGCGGATCGGATGTATATACATCGGTTAGTGAAAAAAAACATGAACAGGCAGTGCGCTACGTTTCCTAGAATACTTTAGGCAGAATAATTATTTTTGCAAGCCTAAAAGTTAAAATGGGTGTGCAAAAGGTAGTACTAGCAGCCAAAGGTGGTATGAGCAGACTTCACCAAAAAATTATAACGCTTCATCGTAAACCATCCCTCTATCCCATGCGGATTTCAAAAGGTCATCCGTCAACCGAGCCGTAATGCTTAAAACATTATATTTTAGAACGAAGCGGAGGGAACGGAGTTTCGCCGTTTTACCTATACAAACTTCAGTGAACCGACCTTCAAACGCGTGATTGTGTTTTGTCGCGAGCTGGGATTTGCTGTCCTACAATATTACTTTTCCGATAAAGAAGACAAATCGTTCGCCATTACCAGCCACGGAAAAGAGCGAACCGGAAAACCTTATGAACGAATGTATGGATCCACGAAAGAAAAGATTAAAAAGGGTTGTGGTAAGCAAATTGATTAACTTTATTGTACACTAACGTTACTATATTATTTAAATCTGATATATTAGCTATGACTACAGAATTTTTAAAATGCTAGGCAACATCACAGAATTTTCTATATTTAATTAGAAAGTGGAAAAGACGCTTCGACTATTCGCGCTGACATTTTGGAGGAAGTCGGTCCAATTGAGAATCTAGCTTCGACTGCCCAAATTCCGTCTCACAAATCGATTTACAACTTCAAAGCAGCCCAAAAACCGACCAAAGACGAGGAGTTAAACGCAGTTATTCTGGCCTGTATGGATAATCACGGCAAAAGTTCTGCGTTCGTACGCGAAGTGGTTATTGCACCGGATCTCATTGTGAAGCTGGCTCTAGACACGCAGCTAGACGACCTAGTGCGGTTCGCACCAGCTGCAGGAATGTCTGTGGATACAACATTTAATGTGGGCGAATACTACGTTACCACCGTCGTAACGCGCCACCTGATGTTGCGCAACCGTACAACTCGGGTCAGTCCTGTCATAATTGGTGTCACCTTTATCCACAAGGGAAAGACGGGAGAAGCGTATCAGCGGATGGCCGCTATGCTTTTAAATGTCAGGCTCCAGCTTACCAAGGCAAAGTTTCTTGGAACCGACGGCGATTAAGTAAGCGAATGTTTAAGTAGAAGGTTTTTATGCTTGCAGTATATTATTTACAAGTACATATATTTTTACGTGTGCTTACATTGAACGTGGGTTGCATATATGTAAGTATTAGACGTAATATTCCCAATGAAAATTTAAGAAACAGATTTGAGTGGAAGTTGCCAGTGGTCGTAGTAAACTATTGTAATTTCATCCCCGACATTCAGTAGGATTACTTACCAAATATATAAGCATTGTACCGCCGAAAGCAGGAGGCAACCTTATAATTGAACAACATTTGAGCTAATTTTTGCAGGCACTTTATGGCGCATTCCAGACAATTTTTCCAACTGTACCACAT